ACCATCACCATCATCATCCTCAACCTTTTCCTCCTCCTCCTCTTCTTACTCCTTATCCTCAATTCCTTCTCCTCCTCCTCATCCTTCTCATCACCATCATCATGATCGTCCTCTCCCTCTTCTCCCTCCTCCTCCTCCTCCTCCTCCTCCTCCTTCTCCTCCTGCTGCTCCTCCTCCTCCTCCTGCACATATGTATGCTCCACCTCCCCCGCCTCCTCGTCCTTCTCCTCCTCCTCCTCCTCCTCCTCCTCCTCCTCCTCCTCATCGTCATCCCTCCTCCTCTCCTCCTCTTTCTCCTCCTTCTCCTTATCAGCATGGTCCTCCATCCTGGGACGCAGCCGCGAGCCTGGTACACGATGCCCTTGCCGCGCGTACGTCACACCTCGGCTCTGACCCGAGGGACGACCTCGGTGGTAGCCTGTGTGGGACTGCCTGAGACATCGTCGGGTACGGCGCCGATGTGATTGGGCTCATGGAAGGCCGATGGGGAGGAGGAGGGGGCGACAGACCAAGGAGCTCAACCGGACACGAGAAAACAGTGCGCCGAATGGCGCGACCCAAAGGAGGCGGGGCCCTGCTTGCTACACCTGAACGAATGATGACCTCATCCTCCTCCCCCTCCTCCTCCTCCTCCTTCCTCTCCTCCTCTTCCTCCTTCTCCTCTCCTCCTCCTCCTCCTCATCATAATCGTTCCTCCTCCTCCTCCTCCTCCTCCTCCTCCCTCCTCCTCCTCCTCCTCCTCTACATGGAGTCGGGAACCTGTCAACCTGGACAACAACACTCGTGGCCAGGGGCTCGTGCTGCCGGGGCAGTGGGCCCTGCTCACAGCAGGGGCCCTTCCACAAGAAGCCTTCCACGAGGAACCCTCCACAAGAAACCTTCCACGAGAAACCTTCCACAAGAAACCCAGGACGCCCATCGATTTTTGGGGTGGGGACGTCACGCTGTCCATGGCGAAACCATCGAAACCCAAGAAACCCAGGGCACCACGGAGACCAGCAGGGTGTTTCTTGGCATGGGCCCCCACTGTGCTGCAGCCTCCACACATGAGGTTTTTAGAGCAGGACGTGTCCTGGATCCTAGATGCGCCTTCGTCGATTCGGCCTGTACGGGGTGCCATGGGGCTATGCAGAATCTTGCGCCGAGGCTCAGGGTAGCAGTCTAACAATAGGCTTTGCGAAACAAATATATTCGAGACAGGACCGGGGCAGAGGGAACACATGTGGTGGCGAGGGCAGCCCTTCTGTGGAAATCCGTCTGCCATCACTCGCTGCAACTCCAAAGGCCTCAGCCCTCTCCTCCTCCATGTAGGGAGAAAGGCAAACTCTGACAACGCCTCTCATAGAGTCTGTACAGGGCCGAACTGTCCGCGGCAAACATCTGCCAAATAGGAGTGTCCAAAAGCGTTTCTTCGAGATCATCGAAGATGGCAGCCCGTTCCGCAAATGTAGCGTGGGAGCATCTCATCAGGGCAGCAATAATGGTGACGGCAGCACTTCGACACCTCAGACCTCCCCCGTGGGAGAGCGCATGGCAAAGATCGACTGCTCGCGGCATCCGACCTACTCGTCCTCCTCATCCACGTCATTCTCCTCCTCCTCCTCCTCCTCAATCCTCTTCCTTCCTCCTTCTTCTCCGTCATTCTCTGACTCCTCCTGATCCCTTCCGCCCCCCTCCTCCGCCTCTGTCATCCTCCTACGCCCTCCAGAGGCATCCTCGTCCTCCGTCCCCTCCTACCCAGCTCGTCCTCGTCCTCGTCGTTCGAGGGTCGAGCTCCTCAAGCGCTCTGGTAGTGACTGGCCTCTGTCGGGGGCGCGCAACCATGGATTAGCGACCCATGGATTTGGCGCGTGGTTACAAAATCCATGGATCGGGGGAAATGCTCTGCCCAAAATGCGGCCGGTTCCGCCTTGTTCGGCGGCGGAAATCCGCGATTCCCCATGGAAGCGGGACCCGTCGCTAATCCACGCCCCCTTAATCCATGCTTGCGATCGCCTGACCCTGGACGCACCCGAAGCCGAACGCGACCGAACACGTCCCGCCCTGTGGTCACGACGCGAAGGAGACCGGGATCCTTCGACCCTGGCTGGGGCATCGAGCGGAGGCCCCCGCAAGCCTTAAGTCGGGCCTGTCCCTCTACAGAAGGAATCTTCAAGAACAGTCAAAAAAAAGTCGGGTGACGATTGTTCTATCATGTATTGATAATTTTGGGGCATTTCGCCAGCTTCCGCCGAGGAGGAGGTCCGATGCCAGTGCCTTCGGCCCTCGCACGCGAGGCCCTATCCTCAGGTCAACGGCCCTATCCTCACGCGAGTGCCTTCGGCCCTCGCACGCGCACGCGAGGCCTGTCCTCCTACGGGCGGACTCTGGAAGGAAGGTGGAAACAAGTCAAACGTTATCTAGCAGAGTCAACCTCGCACGAAACATCGTCACCTGACTATTTCCATACTGTTCGTGCAATCTTCTTCATGTGGAGGGACATGCCCGAGGTAACCTTCATCGCACGCTCTCGGTTGTCGGCGCGGCTTTCTCGGATCGGCGCTGGCCCCCCCTCCCCCAGGGGCGGCGCCAGAGGCACCGCCCGGGGGCTCCAGCGCCGATCCAGGACATCCACCGAGCGGAGGGCCGAAAGTTCATGCTTGTGCCGTTGTCCTCGCCTTCTTCGCTGTCTGGACTAAGACGAAGCCAGCACGAGGATAACTTCGGGTGAGGATACATCACATACCTTTGAGAGACGGCGGCTTCTGGGGGATGTATCGAGCGCGGGCCTTCTCAGAGGGCTCTGGAACGCTCTGGGACGTTCTGCTCTGGAACGGACTGATCCTCGTCCTTAGAAGAAAAAACAAAGAAAACTACACACATAAACTTTTGGCGCTCCGCGCGGATTTCTTGGATCCGCGCTGCCCCCCCCCCCCCCCCCCGGCGCGCTCCGCGCGCCAGGGGCGGTTCCGGAGGCGCCGCCGCTGGGGGGCCCCAGAGCGGAGCCAAGAACTCCGCGCGGAGAGCCAAAAGTTTTATGCTTATAGCGTTCTTGTACCTTCTGATGGGGCCTGTTTTCCACCACCACCTCCACCAGAAGTTGGAGGGGGGAAGGAGGTGGAGGACGAGGAGAAGGAGGACGAAGAAGAGGAGGAGGAGGAGGAGGAGGACCCCCTCCTCCTCCAACTTATGGTGATGGTGGAAAATACGCACATCACCTTCGAGTCCTGTCCCCGTCCTGGGAGCCCCCACGAGGACCGTCCCGGCATTCCTATAGTCCTACCACGAAATGTTCTTAGAACCCAAGCATGTTCTAAGAACAAAAACAATGTTCTTAGAACAGATTCCCGATGTGTTAAAACAAGACAGTCCCAGCCAGGAATGTTCTAAGAACGTTTCGTGCAGACCACAAAAGGTTCTTAGAACATTGTTTGGTGGGGCTATTAGGCGAGCAAGGACACTTCGCCACTGCTTGATCCCTGGCCCGGTGGCGCACGGTGCCAGGGCGTGGGCCGGCCGGCCGCGGGCTGCGCGGTCTCCTCCAGGCTCCCGGGCCCGGCCGCGGCCGCGCCGCCCGGGCGCAGCGCCAGGTCGGCGGAGGCCATGAGCTTGCGGGGGGGAGGAGGGGGGGTCTGGTGCTCCTTCTCTGAGCATGTTCTCGGGGTGGAAGGCTCAGGATGCAGTCCATACGGGCTTCTGCACCTCGAAGATCAAGCCGTCTCGTGGTTCGCCTCTCGTGCAGACTCGAGCCTCGAGAACCAATCGAAGCGGCGTTTCAGATTTCACCCTTTGCCCTCCACCCAAAGAAGATGCTCGGATTCTGGGGACCGTCCTGGAGCAACTCCCTCCACTCGTGCGTCGAGGTGGCGTCGAAGGTCCGTCGGCTCGGATATAGCCTGCGTCGAACCTGCGTCGAGGCTGAGTCGAGTCGAACCTGCGTCGAGCCTGAGACGGGCCTGAGTCGAACCTGCGTCGAACCAGAGTCGAACAGATCCGTTAGGTGGGCCTCAGGAAGGTTCCCAAAACGAGCATCGAAGGGGGGGGGGACAGAGGGGTAGGGACAAGCAAGTGTAAGTCGGGCGTGTCCCTCCACGGCCCTCCACGGGAAGAATTGTCAAGGAGAGTCAAAACACGATCTGGAGACGATTTCCCCACCATGTTTCTGGGAATGCTTCTGGGCGCCCGCCCCCAGGGTGTCCTGAGAGACTGGCCAAGGAAAACCGCAAAAGGACGGGCCGCAGAGGCAGGGGCAGGAAGGGACCCCAGGGTACCCTAGAAAAGGCGCGCGTCGTGGTCGTGGACGTGGACTGCAGACCCCACAGTCCTGTGCCATGTTTCGAGCCAGACCGATCTGCGCGAGTCCCAGAGCCCGACAGAAGGTAAAAACGCCCGGCTCGACAAGCAGGGAAGCGCCGGGATCTCAGGTGCGGTGCCACTGGGCGTGGGAGATGCGGGGGACCCCTCGCGGAAGGGAGAGCGAGAAGGCGCTCGCAACGCCTGGCACACCGAGCGACAGCTCAACGCCCGGCCAGGCGGAGGAGGGGGGAACCGCGGGGCAAGGAAGGGACGACGCGACCGACAAGGATTCCTTGCCTGGGTCAGCATTGGGGATGCATGAGCTCACATGGTGCTGGCAGCAGTGCTCACGACAAAAACGGTTGGCACTACACCAGTCAGGAGAAATCCCGCTGCACGGGAGGACAGTCCTCCTGTCAAGGAGACAAGACGAGGACGAGAGAGACCAGGACGAGGAAATGATCCCGACAAGGAAGAAGACGAGGGCAAGGAACGGGGCGACGGGACATTCACGCTGCACAAAAACGTACCCACACAGAGCGCATCGGTAAAAAAGACTGTAGCGTGAGGGAGCGCAGCCTCCTTGAAAGGCCAACAGGAGCACACACACACACACACACACACACACACACACACGCTTACCGCGAACGAAGATTACGATCCATGCAGAACAAGGAAAGGCATCGAAAGCCAACGATTGGAAGGCAATCGAGACCACCGCACAGGCCGGCCTGCGATAGGCAAACGGATGCAAGTACAAAACAAGTCCTGACAACAAATCGACAGAGCCAATGCCGCGCACGGGCGAAGCTCCCACACCACCAAGACAGGGTGCGAGAGAGCCTCCATGACCGACGAGTCACGCACGCTGTGCACTGCTCCCGCACTCTTGGCAGGAGAGAGTGGCGGACGGAGCCCCCGAGAGGCGGCCAAGATCCCTCGGCCCAACCGCCCACCACCGGACATCGAAGACTGCGAGTTGGCGTGCTTCACACAAGGGGAATACGAGCCGACCTCCATCATAAATAACACATAGCTGGGTGCGGGCGAGCCTCCGCCGCCGACGATTCCTCGCGGAGGCGTCCAGCGAAGGAGCGAAGCTCTCTCTATAGATGCAGGACGTGTGATAAAGCAGAAAGCACTGACGACGGCGCCCGATCCAGCCCGAAGCTGGTGATGCCGACGCTGACCACCGGCCTGGCCACATTGGCAGAGGAGCGACGATGGCTCGCGGCCACGCCCACAACGCCAGCCGTGATGGAAGGAAGAAACAACGTGGACAGAAGAGTGGAGGAAGGGAGGACGGACTCCTGACGGCACGCGGCCTGAGCCAAGGCGTGAGCCAAGGCTTGAGCCAAACTTGCCTCAAGGCCACGGACCACACACACACACACACACGCACACGCGCACACACACACACACATACGCGCGCACACAAACACGCAGACACAAACACAGACGCACACACACACACACACACACACACACACATACGCGCGCGCACGCACACAGAGACACACACACACACACGCGCGCACACACGCACACACACAGACACACACACACACACACACGCACACACACACACACAGACACACACACAAACACACACACACACAAACACACACACACACACACACACACACGCGCGCTCGCGCGCGCGGGCACGCGCGCCCACGCGCACTTTCACGTTGGCAGCCGCGCGTGCAGCAGCACGGCGGCCACGGGGTAGCGCGGGGGAAGGGCGCGGAGTGTCAGGAGAGGGGGCGGCCCGGGAGGGGCGGGAGCGCACGCCGCGCACACGGCAAAAGGCGAGAAAGAGAGAGAGAGAGGGAGAGAACCAAGACGGTGGAGCGAGCGGGCGAGAGAAAATAACAAAAAAAAAAAAAAAAAAAAAAAAAAAAAAATGTTGGAGCGAGCGAGCGAAAGCGCGCGAGGGAGCGAACGCGCGCGAGGGGGGGAGCGAACGCGCGCGAGGGAGCGAGAGAGGGAGGAAGAGGGGGGGGTCGGCCAGGCGAGAGCGCGGAGCGGTGCCTCCGCGGCGTAGGCCGCTGCGTTGATGCCATACGACGCAAACTGCACCTGCCGGACGCCGGGGAGGCCGGGGGCGTGCAAGAAGGGGGGCGTCCAAGAATGAGGGTCTCGCAAGACATGGGGCCCGAGGCGCGGGCGCGGACGTGGCGGGGGGCCAAGGGACGCATTGGACAAGAAGAGGGCGCAAATCCTCGTCCTCGTCGTCGTCGTCGGCGTCGTCGTCGTCCCCGTCGTCGGCTTCGTCCTCGTCCTCGTCCTCGTCCTCGTCCTCATCCTCGTCGTCGTCGTCGTCGTGGCCAGCCCTGGGCGACGGCGCCAGGGGAAACGGCAAGGGGGCCCCGGCTCAGAGGGAGGGGTGAACCTCGGCCTGGAATCGGCGGCCCATCCCAGCTAGATCGGCGATCGGCCCCAGATCGCGAAGCCGCACGTTCCTGGGCGCAGACGCAAGGAGAGTGGGGCGTCGCGGCCAGGGTAGACTGTTGACAGACTCTGCCATATCACCCCTGCGCGCTTTCTGTTTCTGGCCCATTATGTGCGCTGTCTGCGGGAGCGCTCCATGACAGCACAGACGCGACGCGAGTGATCTTGCAATGCATCATCGGGCCCCTCGTCGGCGATGAACCCAGAGACCAAGCGTCGTGATTTTTTCAACACGGGGTCCCTGGAAGTCCTGGCCCTTTCTCTGGGGCCGGTTTTTCCTCCCGAGTCGCTTTCTGACGGCCCCAGGGCCAGGCGAGGGCCCCCCGAGGCCAAGAGTAGTAGAAAACGCCCGCCCTGATGATGTTTTTACGCCGGGAGCACGTCTGGGCCTCGTCGGCGAGGAATGGGCGAGTGGGGCCCGAGGCGCTCCCTCCTCGATCCTCCGGGCTCTCCGGGCCAGAGAAGGCTGGGGCGACCCGCGCACCCGAGGGGCGCGCCCTCGGCGAGGGGCGCCGCGGGGAGGCATATCCCCCGGTGGTGGAAAGCCAGCGAGAACCGCTGAGCAGGGACCGACCGTCGCGGCACTCCTAGAGGCCTACCACAGACTGTTCTCAGAGGCTGGCTCTGCGTTTCACATAACTCGACTTCCGAATGTCGGGACACGCGGGTTCCCATCATTCGAATTCCGAAATATGTACAACGCAAAGGCCAATGAGAAACCGAACTCAATGTGTCGGCTTTGCGTTGCCCATAATTCCGAATTATGGAAAAAACGCAACTTCCTCTACAGATCGCACTCGATGGGCTGGCTTTGCGTTTGCCATAATTCGAATTCAGAACTTCGGGGAACACGGCTTCCCTTGAGTCGAATTCCGAATAATGGGAAACGCACTTTCCCTAGACAAAACTGCACTCAATGGGCTGGGTGTGCGTTTCCCAGAATGCCAAAACAGGAGACGCAATTTGCTTTGAACAACCGCACTCAATGGGCTGGCTGTGCGTTTCTCAGAATTCCGATTTATGGGAAACGCAATTTCCTCTGAAAAAACGCACTCAATGGGCTGGCTTTGCGTTTCCCATGGTTCGAAGCCCGAATTTCGGGAAACACGATTTCCCATAATTCGAATTCCGACATATGGGAAACGCCACTGCCCTTGAAAAACCGGGCTCAATGGGTTGGCTCTGCGTTTCCCATAATCCCGAAATGTGGAGAACGCAATTTCCCATGACAAACCGTACTCCATGGGCTGGCTTTGCGTTTCCCATATCTCGAATTCAAAATTTCGGGAAACGCGGTTTCCGATAAGTCGAATTGGGAATCGCAACTTCCGGTGAAAAAACACATTCGATGGGCTGGCGGTGCGTTCCCATAATTCCGAAGTGTGGGGAAACGAAATTTCCATTTGACCCCCCCACTCACACATACACACACACACACACACACAAAAAAAAAAAAAACGCACTCAATGGGGCGGCTTCACGTTTCCCATAATTCGAATTCCGAATTTCGGAAAACGCATTTCCCCATACTTCGAACTCCGATTTTTCGGAAACGCAATTTCCCTTGACAAACCGCGCTCAATGGACTGGCTTTGCGTTTCCCAGAGTTCGAATTCTGAATTTCACGAAATTCCCAGAATTCGAACTCCGAAGTATGGGAAACGCGATTTTTCCATTGAAAACCGATCTCAATGGGCTGGCTGTGCGTTTCTCAGAATTCCGATTTATGGGAAACACAATCTCCTGCGAAAAACCGCAGTCAATGGGCTCGCTTTGCGTTTCCCATGGTTCGAATCTAGAATTTCGGACAACGCGGTTTCCCATAACTCGAATTTCGATTTTTGGAGAACGCAACGTCCCTTGAAAAACCCACGCACTGGGCTGGCTTTGCGTTTCTCATAATTCCGATTTATGAGAAACGCAATTCCCCTTGAAACATTTTCCTGGCGAAGGACCCAACCATCTGCAAGTGTGAGAACCGCAGGGGTGCGCCAAAATGGGGCGGGACAGCCATGCGAACCCTGCCAATGGGGCCTTCGGTGGGGCTCGCTGTGGAGCCGCCATGCGAACCCTGCCGTTGGGGCCTCCGGTGGAGCCCCCTATGGGGCCACGAACCGTGTGCGGGGTGCGCCAAAATGGCGCGTGGCCGCCATGCGAACCATGCCATTGGGGCCTTCGGTGGAGCTGCCTATGGGGCCACGAACCGTGTGAGGGATGCCACAATGGGGCTGGACCGCCATGCAAGCCCTGCCACTGGAGCCTTCGGTGGGGCTCCCTGTGGGGCCACGAACCGTGTGAGTGGTGCGCGCCAAAATGAGGCGGGGCCTCCATGCGAACCCTGCCACTGGGGCCTTCGATGGAACTTCTTATGGGGCCACGAACCTTGTGAGTGGTGCGCACCAAAATGGCGCGGGGCCGCCATGCGAACCCTGCCACTGGGGCCTTCGGTGGAACTCCCTGCGGGACCACGAACCGTGTGAGGGGTGCGCCAAAAAAGCGCGGGGCCGCCATGCGAACCCTGCCACTGGGGCCTGAGGTGGAGCTCCCTATGGGGCCACGAACTGTGTGAGGGGTGCGCCAAAATGGAGCGGGGCCGCCATGCGAACGAGACGGGCCATCTTCGGGACAGGTGAACCGACCAGAAGATGTAGGATGTACGCGGAGTGTGCGGGTGTGCTTCAAATTGCGAAGGCCCAGCTGAAGCCAATCAGTCTTGAGCCAAAGGGTTACGGGCATCTTGGAACCTTCTTGAGGCGTCTTGGGGGCCTCTCGGAGGCTCCTCGGCCGTCCAGAGGACGTCTTGCAGCGTCTTAGGCCCCATTGCGCCGCTCTTGTCGCGCACTCGCGCCCCCACCGACGCTGGCTTGTGCGGCCGGGGGAAGGCCCAGGGGGCCGCGCAGCTGGAGGGGGGCGTGCTCCAAAAGAGGGGGCGGGGAGGACTTCGGGAGGGTGTCCCGGCCTGGGCCCCTGGCCCACGGCACCCCGGCCTCTGAGATACCGTGTCGAAGAACCCCCAGGGGGCGAGCGAGGGTCCTGCTGTCGGGAGCGGCCAAGAGGGGGGTGTCCAAGAGGGGCGGGGTGCAAATCATGACAGGCGGCATGTGCGCGGCCAAGTGGGGGGGCCAGGGACGTTCTGAAACAAGAAGAGGCGCCATGAAATCTGGGGAAATATCATGGACCACGCAATGATATCCACCCCCCTAGTCATCACCCCCCCTCTTTTCCGCCCCCGATGTTGTGGGTCTGGTGTGCACAATTCCCTGGACCGGTTTTTGCATGCTGAGAGGTGGCCCGGGGCGGTGGAATCCGACTGGGGCGGGGGGGGGTATACAGAGAATCTTGCAGAGCATTGGAGAGCAAGTGGCAGCTCCCATAGAAGTCGTAGAAGATGCGGCGGAGGGGGCGTCCTCTGCGGAGCGGGGTGGTCTCCCTTTCCGGGGAAGGCAGATCACCATCGGTGTCTCGGGATGGGATAGGAGGAGGAGGAGGAGGAGGAGGAGGGGAGGAGGAGGAGGAGGAGACGACGGACCAAACGAAACCCACGATGCATCAAAAATGATGCAGTACACCCGCCCGTCCCAAATCCCCTCTTCTTCGGGAGTCCCCGCTGCGGGCAGCACGCCTCTTGAATGGCGAGCGCCTGGCAGGCCCGCCACTGCGCCAGGCTTGTCTAAGAAGGGATATCTCGCGTGCTTCTGAAAAGCCGGCGGGTCCGACTTTTCGGCGGGGGACAAACCTCCCTTTAGTAAACCTCCCCTTAGTGAAAACAACCTGGGACCGAAACCGACGGACCTGAACCCGCAAAAATGACGGCCGCGACGCCCTCTCGCGAACCGAAAACGGCCAATTCCTTCATCGACGTGTCAGGGCAGGAGGTCTGTCCACCCCCGAACTCTCCTCCTCCGAGGCGGCCCCGGGCCGAAACCCCAACCCCGAGGGGCGCCCCGCGCCTCCGCCAGAGAGAGGCGGCGCGGGGGCGTGCCGAGGCCGCCCGCGGGCTGCTCTGGGCCTGGGGCTCCGTGCTCCAGGGGGGGGGGGGGCACCTGTGCCCCAGCCTGGCCGCCCATCGAAGGGCAGCGCGGACTGGCGGCCTCAGATCTCCGACGGCATGATTGTTTCAGTCCCGGCAGTTGTCCACGATTTCGGCTTCTGGGAGCCGTTATCGGGCGCCGAAACCACCAAAAATGGGTCCGGGATGCAACAATGCCCGTGGAGAAACGGATCCGGAACTCTGAGACCGCTCGTTGGAAGAAAGAACACGGCCCTTCCCGGCACGGACTGCTGCCGACGGCAGCAGCGGGCAGCACCTCGGTCTACAAGACGGCACGGCCTTGCACAGGCCAGCGCTTTCCTCGCAAGTGCGCGGCCACGGCGGATGCCGGCAGGAGCCGCGAGGGCCCCTCGCCTCCTGCCTGCCCCGGGGGGGGGGGACACCGACCAGGGGGGGAGGCCGGCTCGTCCTCTGTAGACTCTGAGGCGGAAGAGGCCCAGGCGAGATCGCGAAGGAGCGCAGAGGGGGAGGGGCAGAGGGAGGAGGTGGGTCGATACCCCTCCTCAATCCAGAATCGCGAGACTCGCTAACCATCAGCTGCAGGACGGTGGGGACCTTCACGCCCACTAGACTACCCAAAAGGCCTCCAAGACGCCCCAAGAAGCCTCCAAGAGCACTCCGGAGAGGGCACCAAGAGGCAAAATCAGTTCAAGTTCCTTCGGTGTTCAAAAGACTTGGGCACTCTCGCCTGTTCCTCTTCTCGCAGCTCCAAGACGGCCCAGGCGGCCCAAAGGTCGCCCCAAGACGGCCCAAGAGGCCTCCAAGAGAGCCCAACAACAGCCTAAGAGGAAGCCAAGACAGCCCAAAATGCCTTCAAGACGGCCCAAGAGGACCCCAAGACGGCTCCAAGAGCGTGCGCAGATGGGGGACCCGAACGGACATTTCGAGCCCTCGGCCCCGAGAGGCTCCCAGGAGGCCCCAAGAGGTTCCAAAGAGGCCCCAGGAGACCCACGAGAGGTCCCCAGGGAGCCCGAAGAGGCTCCCAAGAGACTCCCAAGAGGCCACCAAGAGGCTCCAAGAGGCCAAATATGTCCTCCCTAGAGGCCGAAACCACCATCACCACCACCGCAACAACCCCCACCATCACCACGACCCACCACCAACACCAGCACCACAAACCACCACACCACAACAACCACCACCACCACCATCACCACCACCACCCACCACCCACCACCCACCACCCACCAACACCACCAGCACCACTACCAGCAGCAGCACCACCAACACCACAGCCCACCACCACCACCACCACCACAAACCACCACGCCACCACCACCACCGCCACCACCACGACCACCACCACCAAATTACCACACAACCATCACCACCACAGCCACCACCACCATCACAACAACTCACCACAACCACCACCACCACCAATACAACAACCCACCACCACTACCACCACAATCGCCACAATCTACCACACCACCACCACCACCACCGCCACAACCACCACCACCACTACTACCAGCAGCACAATCCACCACCACCACCACAACCACCACAAACCACCTCACCACCACCACCACCACCGCCTCTTCCACCACCACCACCAGCACCCCCGCCGCCGCCGCCAGCCGCCGCCGACGGCGGCGCTGGCCCGAGGAGAGAAAGAGAGGAGAAGTAGGGGAGGGGGGGGTCGAACTCCAGCTCCTCTGGATCGCTGGGTCGCACTATCGGGGGCGACCAAAATGGGAACCACCAAGAGGGGGGTGCGCAACTCCTAGCCGGCGGCACGTGCGCGGCTGGGGGGGGGCGGGGGACGCAGTGAAATAAGAAGAGGCGCCATGGAATATGGGGAGATATCATGGCCATGGCCATGAGATCCACGCCCCCTCTAGTCATCACCTCCCTCTTGGCCGCCCCCGACATTACAAATGCCACTGCTCCATGGCCCTCTCCTGGAGAGCCACCTGACCGGCATGTCGGGGCGAGCCCGGCTGTTGTGATGAGGGACGCGCAGCGGTATCGGAACACCTCCCCCATCCTCCCCTTCCCCTCCCCCCTCCTCCCTCCCAATCCTCCTCCACCTCCCAGCCCTCCTCCTCCTCCTCCTCCTCCTCCTCCTCTCCACCACGTCCTCATCCTACTTCCTCCTCCCCTCCCTCCTCCCATTCCCCCCTCCTCGTCCAGGCTGTGTTCGTCTGGGATGAATCATTGTCTACGGCTCTTCGCTCCCCCCCTCCCCCTCCCACTCACCTCCCTTTTCCTCCTCCTACTCCTCCTCCTCTCCTGATCCTGTCTCTCTCCTCCTCCTCCTCCTCCTCCTCCTCCTCCTCCTCCTCCTCCTCCTCCTCTTCCCTCCTTCCTCCTCCTGCTCCTCCTCCTCCTCGTCCCCTCCTCCCTCCTCCTCCTCCTCCTCCTCCTCCTCCTCCTCCTCCTCCTCCTCCTCCTCCTCCTCCTCCTCCTCCTCCTCCTATAGACGACGCTGGCAGCGGCGGCGACGACGGCAACCGCGGCTGCCGACGACAGGCCGCTGCGGAGGGGCGCGGGCTACCGCGGCGGGCGGCGATGCGCGGGCACGCGGCGGGCGGCGGCGCAAGGCGGCGCCATGCAGCCGACGCCGTCGGCCACGCCCAGCGCGCTGGAGCTCGTGAAGTACGCGTCCTGCGCGCCGCCGCGCGGAAGGGGGGGTCCTCTGTTCCTCCTCCTCCTCCTCCTCCTCCTCCTCCTCCTCCGCCTCCTCCTCCTCCGCCTCCTCCTCATCCTCCTCAACAGCGACCCCCTGGGCTCTTTGCCGGGGCGCGCCTGAGCCGGAACCTCGGGTATGCAAGGTGGGATTATATAGCTGTACCAATACAGTGGGTACCTCAATGCATAGAAAACTCGCATGGCTAGACCTTCGTCCCGCTGGGAGCCGCTGGGTCCCGAGCGCGCCTGGAGGGCCCACGACGGCTCCTGATAGCTTCCAGAGGGCCCCAAGCTGGGCCAAGAGGGCCACAAGACGCCCATGATGGCCCCAAGACAGACCCAGAGGCCCCCTGTTCGCCTCAAGAACCCCGACAGGTCTCCCAAGGGAGCCCCAAGAGGCCAAAATCGCCAAATCCCTTCGTCAAACCTACATGTTTAGCATCAACAATTTCGCGCCTTCCCGACGCTCCAAGACGGCCCAAGAAGCCCCCCAGATCGCCCCAAGACAGCCTAAGAGGCACTCAAGAGGCCCCACGACTGCCCAAGAGGGCCCCAGGACGGCCAAACAGGCGCCCAAGACGGCCCAAGGGGGCCCCAAAACGTCCCCCGAAAGGCACCAAGGACCCCCACAGAGGCCCCCAACAGAGGCCCCCAACAGAGGCCCCCAACAGGCCCCAACTCCCGAAGAGGCCTCCAAGAAAACCTGGAGATGCCAGAACAGCCCCCTAGAGGAGTCAAACTGCTTCCGAAAAGCGCTCTGCAAGCCTCTTGGGTTCCCTGGATTATAACGGCGACGCGACGGCCAGATGATCGGCATCTCTCTCTCCCTCTCTCTCTCTCTCTCTCTCTCTCTCTCTCTCTCTCTCTCTCTCTCTACATATATATATATATATAGATAGATAGATACGCACACAAATGTACATATAAATATATATGGGCATACCTATGAATACAGACATACGCCTGCACACCAATATGTATTTAGCTCAGTGCATGTACTCCAGTATACATATGAATACAGATATGTATATATATGCATACTTACAGACAGACAGACAGGCAAACAGGCAGACACACGACCGACAGGCATACATACACACATGCGTACATACATACATACATACATACATACATACATACATACATACAGACAGACAGACAGACAGACAGACAGACAGACAGACAGACAGACAGACAGACAGACAGCCAGACAGACAGACAGACAGACAGACAGACAGACAGATAGACACATATAAATATGTACATATACATATACATACATACATACATATATATAATATGTGGCAACGTCCACCGCCTGGGGAGCCGACGTCCTGGGCTCCCAGAAGGGAAGTGTGCACGGATACCTGGTGGCACCATCCACGCCACCACCTGCCAGGGTCCCCGAGGTTCGATGCCCGACGGCGGTGGACAAACCTCCCTTTAGTAAACCTCTCCTTACTGAAAACGGCCTGGGACCGAAACCGGCGGACCTGGACCCGCAAAAATGAGGGCAATTCCTTAATCGACGTGTCATGGTAGGAGGTCTATCAACCTCCGAAAGTTGTGGATGAGTTCCCGCCTCGGATCGGGATTAGATTTCATTTCGAGGACCTTTCAAAGGCCCTCCCAACAAAATTGTCCGGGCTCTAGGTCGAATCTAGCTCGGCTCAAGCTCGACTCTAGCACGAGCCAAGTCGACGGTGTTCGATGCATGAGTGGATCGATTGGCTCCAGGGAGGTCTCCAAAACGAGCATCGCACCGGGGCGGATCCATCCGTGACCACGAGGCTAACCCGGGAGTCTTCGAATACCAGTAATGAGAATGATAAGAGGAAGAGGAAGAAGAAGAGGCAGAAGAGAAACAAATATTAAGAACAAAGAGATAGATGTTAAAAGAAGCCGATAAACATAGAAAACGGGCCCCGATCACTCCTCCTTGGGAACGTGTCAGAACAAAACCGTCGGGAAACCTCGGTCATCGATCCGCGGACGCGCTAGTCCAGGGTCAGCGCTGTACCCTGGGGCGGCCATGGGCCATGCCACGGACCTTGGCAGGCCTCATGATGCAGTCGGACCTAGGCCAGAATGACATCCTTCAAGAACTCCGTCTGCAAAAACGAACAGAACATCCATGGGCTAGGTCGGGCATGTCCCCCTACAGGCGGAGCGTGGACGAACAATACAAAAGTGAAAAAAACATAACAACAAAACATAGTCAAACCAAACTATATTATATCCATGTTTGTATAAAAACAGAGAGAGAGAGAGAGAACAAAAAAAACAAGCAACAAAAAAAGAAACGTCCCCAGATTATTGTTGTGTGGCTATGTTTGAATAGTTCTCCTGTAGGTACGCCCGACTTAATCCAAGGGTGCCCTCCCCAGGATGCACAAGAGAACGTCCCACAAGCGCAAAGAACACTGGGGGGCGCCCTCCCCGAGCACCGACCTCGATCCTATCATACCTCGGTCCATCCGCAGCCCCCAGACACCCGTGCCATCGGAGCGACGCTGAAGGGGGCCAGGGACACACAAATAAATATACACAAGAATCCCTAGAGCCTCCATCGTTTCCCATAGTTTTTGGATGTTCGCATTCCCCCCCACTTTCCAAAGTTTCCCATAGATTGTTCCCGGGAGTCGACGATTACCTGTGCCTGTGTGCTTCGTTCCCTCCTGAGCTCCGCACGGCTCCCAGGCCAAGGCCAGCCAGAGGAAATCGGAAAGGGGTCGGCTGACTCCCCTCTGCGCGGACCCCCGCCACGCGCGCCCCGATCGCTCCCTCCGCCTCCTCGAGGCTCGGGTCGGACGAAGGGGGGGGGGATGGCAAAGGCTGGGGTCAGCGAGTCAGCTCACGTGGCTGGGCTCCCCCGGAGACTTCGGGCGCCAGTGCCCCAAGGTGACGCGCCCACCACCACCATCAGTTGGAGGGGGACGGGGTCCTCCTCCTCCTCCTCCTCCTCCTCCTCCTCCTCCTCCTCCTCCTCCTCCTCCTCCTCCTCCTCCTCCTCCTCCTCCTCCTCCTTTCCCCCTGCAACTTATGGCGGCGGTGGTGGAAAACAGGCCCATCAGCGGACCCGAAACCAGCTGCGCGCAGCAGATGTCAGGGCCTCTCGCACCGCCGCAGCACACGCAGCGGTTAAGATCGAGAAGAGCGAACATGAACGGAGGGGACCGGTGGGCGGTGCCAGCCTGCGCCGCCCTCCACCATGACTCGGCCCGAGTCGTGCCCCCTCTCCCTATCCTCCTCTGTCTCTCTCTCTCTCGCCCTCCGTCCCCTATCCTCGTCTCTCCCCCTCTCTCTCTCTCTCTCTTCCCCTCTCCCTCTCTCTCTCTCTCTCTCTCCCTCTCTCCGCCGCGCGGTGAGAACTGGCACAACTTCGTGAACGGGGAGGCTCACGGAGCGCGCCTCATCTACCCACGGGTCCTGGGCCTCCTCATCCGCATGGACTGGTGTGCCCCCACCGAAGCTGCCTCCAGGTGTCGTGCCCTCCCGCACACCTGTGGCATGGGCGACTGCACGCACGCCCTCCACATTGCCGGCTTCGATCACCCAGACCTCCGCGAGGCGGCTGAAGCCCGCGACCAGGAGGCAAAGATCTGGCGCCGGCTGGACACCGCGGCAGCGTGGCCACCGCCGCAGGCACTATACTCGCCAGAGGCAGCGCGAGCATGGGCTACACAGCACTACGACACCGAAGCAGCCACCAGGGCCGACCCCAACCAGCCCCGTCCGCGCGCCTCGCTTCGCAAGCTCCAGCTGGACCCGCAGCCACTGATCGACCTGGTGTACACTGGTTTGCAGGCCGTTCCCGTGCGGGGGCAGTCTGACGTACGAGCGCCGCGCCCCAGCGGCTCCAGCCCTGGGGCCGCGTCTGGCCCATCGCACACCTCTCAGCCAGGTGCCGCCTCGGGACACAGTCCAGACCGCTCACCGACGGCATCGGGAGCCGACGACCGCCGTACGCCGTCCCTTATCAGCGCGGCCGCCGCCCTCGCCCGAGGCCATGCTCGCTCACGGCGCTCCGCCTCACGTTCGTCACGGCAGAGCGGCGGCAACTCCGCCTCTGACAGCAGCGACATCGAGACGTGGGAGCACATCGAGACGGAAGAGGAGCCGACCGCCTACCACGTCCTCGCCTTCCACGTCCGCGATGTGCGGTCCCGTGTGAACGCCCCTGGCGTCGAGGTCTGGCTCGACCCAGGCGAGCATCACGATGGCGCCTACCTACCGTGGGGGGCGACCGTTGTGGGCCACCGCGTCACTGACCCTGCGGTTGCGGGTCGCGATGGCTGGGTCATCCTTCACCACGACCACGGCGACACCACCACCAGGCTCTGGGCACCGACCCAAGTCCACGTCAAGGCGGACGACACTTGGCGCACGGTCATGATCGCAGCGGACCTGGGGCCCCAGTGGATCCAGCGCCATGCTGACGACGCTCGCCTCCCCGCGGAGGCGGTCCGCACTACAGGCCAGTCCTGGTTCGCCGACGTCTGGCCTTTGTGGGATCGACCCCGACCCCACCCAGACGACGCAGTCACCGACGAGCAAGCGTTCCCGCCCCTACCAGGACGCTGGATTGCCTACAGTGCCGATTCCAATGCTGCCAGTATTGTGCTGCCCGCCGCAACACGCAGCTCGGCACCTCGGGCCAACCGACGTGCCCGGACTGCTCCCTCAGCGGACTGCGTGCACCTATGGACTGGTCCACGGACTACTCTTGCAACAGCTGGACGTGCGTGTACAGCACCGACGACAGGGCCGCCGACACATGCTGCCTCTCCAGCAGATGCCCGCATCCGCCTCGTCCGCACAGCCTGTTCGACGTCCGTGCCACAGGGATGCCTCCGCACATCCTCGCCCGCCAATTCGGCAACGCGCCAGCCCAGCACGACCTCATGGAGCCCCCCCGAGCGCCTTCAGGCCCCGGGGGGGAGCCTCCGCAACCAGGCCAAGCAGGATACCAGGGC